AATAGAAAAATGTTCTCGTCACTTACTTCCGCATCGCGTCCAGTCTTTCCATGTCGACCAATTGGACCAGTCACACCGTCAGGTCCTTCTGGGCCAGGTGGACCAGGTGGCCCTTGTTTGCCCGCAGGACCTTCAGGTCCGGCTAAAACGTCATTTCCGTAATCACCTTGCTCGCCCGCATTGCCTGGTGGTCCGGTTTTACCTTTTGGTCCAGGTCCACCCATTGGTTTACGTCCATCAAAGCCTTTGGCGCCTGGTGACCCAGTTACGCCTTTTAGGCCTGAAACGATGATTGTTTGGTACTCGTGAATGAAGTTCTTCGATTTTAATTGATCAGATCAATTCATTGCCAGTTCATGGCGATACTCTCGCCTAAACTCCTTTCATACCGAAAATGACCAGCAAAATTACTTCCCCATGAAGTTTCACTAGGCTTTCATAAGAGGCGTTCATAATTCGAAGCAATCTTAACATTTTGATTCAACTGTCCTAGTAATGTTTTTAAGAAATTGATGTGAGAGAAGTATTTCATTGCACGATTTCAAGCAATTGTCCCCTAATCATTTGCACTAATTCAACGCAAACAGTTTGATGCTGACCTTCTTGCCCTGAATCTCCCCTGTCTCCAGGGAATCCAGGTTGACCATCCATCCCGCGATGTCCTAACATTCCATTCGCGCCTTGCATTCCTCGAGGTCCTGAACGTCCCATAGCTCCCGGTGGTCCGACTGGTCCTGAAGAAATTATTCTCTTAGATAGTCCAAAATTTCTTATCAAAATATTAAGTCACTGTTCATTTAGTGGAGCAAAATTTGCTGTCCGTTGGCAGAAAAATTGAAACGCTAACGATAAACTAGGATCGATTGTGCGGACAAACTATTGATAAGCAACCTGCTGGACAATAGTAGCAAGCCGGAGTAGCTTGTAGATCGAGAGTTATATCTTCGCTGCCTTTACCAGCAACTCCATCGATTCCAGGTGGTGCATTGCTACCCGGTGGTCCTGATGCTCCCTTTGGCCCTGGTGGACCCGCGGGGCATTTGTTGTTTTTGATCTGACAGTCTGAAGCAATGGATAAGTGCTGATGGAATACTTATGAATTGGACTTTTACGTGTCTCACTCCGAACAGATCGTGGAAATTCGAATTCATTTTAAAAAGTTTTGATCCACAACTATCAATGATCATTCTCATCTCCTCAATAATCTTCGTTTCTACGAGTTTATCAAGAAAGCAAATTGAAATTTCCGGTCACTTCACAGTTTTCCAAACGATACTCTGAATTCTGCATCCATTGTCAGAGCCGGAGCTATTGTTCCCGGCTGAAACAGAACTGAACTTTGATGAGCAGTCTTCAAATAAAGAGACAAACAAAAACTTACTACATCCGTTACCAGCTGGAGGTCCGGCCGGAGCTTGTGTATCGTATGGAGTACCTGGCGCTTCATCTCTTCCAAGGCCACCAACTCCAGATGCTTGGTTGAACGAAGCACATGCTGAGCCAACACATCCCTTGATTGGTTGCTTCGAGCAATGCTTACCAACGCATTTGTTAGCATCCGAACTGGTCGTGCTTCCGCTCACGTCAGCCGAACGTGCCGTTTCTTGACGATCATCAGTACCATTACTGCTCTCAGCGACCACTTCGCCCTTTGATTTGAGGCCAGCTTTCACTTTTTCGTCTTCTAGAATGATTTCAGTTAGTCTGAATTCGATCCAGTTTCGACCTGGATTCAGTCTGAGCTAAGGCTGATTTCAGCCTGGAGCCAAGTGTAGCATGGAATTTCTGGAGTGTAGCAACTTTGTATCGTATATGAGAATGGTATCACACAGGAAAGGGAGGAAGAGGCAACGATTCGTGAGAATTCATATTTGATCTGAGTGGTTCAATAAGCAAACGTTAAAGGAAAATGAGTTGTCACTCTCTTGAAACGAAGAGGAATTCGGAATGTGAGCCTTTAGAAACTGGTGCTTCTCTGCATTTAGTGAATCCAAAGCATACATAATCAAGTCTAATCCAAATTATAGGCTAGCTCATGTTCGATAGCATGACTAAGCACTGGAGTACCCAACCGATGAGTAGTAGTTTGCGGACTTGAATCCCTGCTCGCTGGGGAAAGTTTTGCCCGAATTCGACTGGTGGTCGAGGAAAGCAAAGAATGCAGATTCAGAGGTCTATGTAAGCGATCAACAACAAAATATCGTGGTCATCAACTGACTTCCGTTGTTACCAGCTTGACGTCTCGCTCTTCCCGACTGTTTGCCAAGTTTCATTATATCAGCCCACAGATCATTTGTGACATCCTGAATGCATCAAATAAAATGAAGTTGATTCCCCAGATAACGAATGCTGAATTAGATAATTATCGTAGAAATCAAAAAAATTTGAAAATTTCGAGTAATTCTTAGTAAGATTGAGCATAAAAATTACTCTAAAAGTCATCATCTCACGATCCAGTTCATTCCATATTGAGTTAACATCCTGACATAACTGGCTGATGGCTAGCAGCGATAGCACCAGTGCAATGCCACTCAACGATGACGCGATAAAAGTGGCTGTATACACCTTCATTGTAGTTTCGAGAAAATACCCTGAAAAGAAAATTCATATTAAAGGAGATTTTTTCTGTCCTTTATCTGGAGTTGTCATGATCGAAGAAGCAGTTATTTGTTGCTGAATTCAACTGAACACTGCCATGACATATAGCTATCGTCTACATCGAACCAATTGAAAATCGTGATTCTAAGACACTGTTCACATCATTAAACAAATCCACTTTAATAAGTTTATCCGATCTGAGGAGGTATTTATTTGGATATTCAACGAGATGGAGTATGTGACCCAAATATGCGCATACAATAGAAGATACAGTTATCATGCATCTAATGTAGGTGATATGTCACTGACACCAAAAAAACGTCGATTCAAAACAACGAAATCGTGATTATCGTTACTAATTAGGCTGTTCAATTTGCAAAACAATGGTGTTCTCAATTGGTTTGTTATTGATAAAGATGAAGGATCATGAGAAATTTGCGTGTGATCCATGTTTATAGATATCATCTTAATGTTATCTAATATAACAATTCTTTGTTGTTGACATTTTTGCACTTATGGTTTTACTAGGTTATGCTAAAAACCGATTAAAGTTAGATTTTTCAAAAAGTTTTTCAGTTGATACAATTTGCATGATTGGAAAGGTTAGATGAAAACGTTAAAGTGCTCAAATGGTTAGCTTAAGCGTCGATAGTGATAGATGGGGCTCATTGATCTTTAATGATAATCCAATTGATCTTGCTGAGAAAATCAGGAAAAATAATGGTCTAACGATCTCGACATCGTCGTATCAATCAGTTTTTAGTGGTTCTGAATTTTGAAACATTGTTCGGAATACAAGGAGTTCGACTATTTCAGGCATGGATGCGTCTGTTGAAAATTTACGAGCCATTCATGGGTCAAAATTTCAGAGCATCATTTCCGCTGGATTTCGATGATAAAAATATTTCCGAACAGAAGAAACTAATGGTGGGAATATTTTGCACTATCTCACATCATCACATCGCAATTTCTCATCTCTCAATGTGAATTTCTTTTAGCCATCGCTGATCTTACAATTAGTGATCATACTGACTCTTGACAACAATGACATTTGCCAGCATTGAAGCGGAAGCATTTTATTCAAGTCATTCAATCTTATTGCTTGTTTGTCAAGTCCATTTACCGGTCACATTTTTCGCAGGCGTTAATCTGTGAAAAATCAGATGCGAGTTAAAATTCGCAATATAATAAGTGAGAATAAATTGCTGTCCTGATAGAATTTGGACGAACGATTGAAACTGACATGAGATGTTTCGGCGTTTATTTTGTAATAACACTGTCTTATAATATCGAAACACAAAGTATTCATATCATACAAACACAAAAGGGAGGAGATCCTCCAAGTGAGATATACGAAAGTTACATTTCATCATCCGAATGGATGGTGCATGATAGCCGTGTACATCTTATACATATACAGCTAACGTACAGATCTAAAGGTTGAATTTATAAATCACTTTGGTGTCCCTCACGAATCGTCTCTTTCGCGCTCCGTCGCGACAAGATGTGAAGAGACTAATCAATCGTAAATAGAGTAGATTTCAATGAACTAAAGCCAACTACTGATATGTTTATCTCCTCTATATTATGAAATTTTTAGTTGGTGTTTTGTGGTGAGCATCCGGAATGGCGTGTGCCGGTGTTGACACGTGCCGAACGCGAGAAGTTGCTGCGTGAATTGGGGCGAAAACGAGAAATCGCACAATCGCCGAGTATGCCACTAACTTCAAATTGACATTGACCAATTCCTATCATAGGCACAAATTTTGATTGTTAATTGTCACTGCTGATAAGGCCATCACTGATAATTGACTGTGTTGATCAGAATGTAATGTGGTGATACGTGTGGCTTTTGATCGCGAATCCTATCATCAGTTGATGGTCCCACATTCATCTGAGGCGGAAGCTAAACCTCACCACCCAATTTGAGCTCACTCCTTAACCATTGAACTGACCATAATCCTGAGCCTGAATCCAGCCTGCCTCAACCGAATATTCGCAATCAAACATTGAGTGATGAAACGACGACGCTATCATTAGAAAAACGTATGTACCACGATGAAATATGATTTACCTACATGTTATCCAAAAAATTTTGTGGATAATTTCGTTGTATATGATTGAAAATTGCATTTTGTTGACATGAGTAGCATTTGGTATCTTGAGAAATTTACCAATGAATTGGTATTTCCTGAATATTGTGATGTTTTCCACGTGACTTCATTGTTTCCTTTCCTATAGTTGTTTGCATTTGTTGTTTTACTATTCCAATGTCAATTTGTTTGTATGTTTACATGCCCGTTTTTTCAGTTGTTTATCTATTTATTCATCTGCATTTTTTTGCGATAAAGTCTACAATGAGCACGCAATATTTGTTGTACCGTATTATTACATCTGTGACTGTTTCGATTGAGCTTTATCAGAAGTTTGTTGTAAAAACATCTACGCGTGTTCATCAGATCAATGATAATCTATAAACAACTATTTATATATCGTCTACGTGAATATATTTAAAGGTATACATATGCATGAAACTATAAATGGGATTGATGAAAATTTTCGTGACAATTGGCAGCATTCGAGCACCTGAAAAGTTGCCTAGACTTCCGACTCTAACCTGCACCCTCAGTGTACTCTCAGGTCGACGAAGTTGATTTTGTCCCTAAAACAATGTTAGCCTACGATATAATCCAAAACACATATCGTACACAAACAAGTGTTACGTGTGTGTGTGTGATCTACACGTACATTTTTCTATATTTTGGTATAGATATTAATGGCGAAGGCGTCCATTCGTCTGCTTGACTGAATTTATTACGCAATAAACCTTGATGAAAATTTTAACCGCAGTGAAAACGAAAAACATTTGGCATCGTTTATTTGTCACTAATATATGTGATGATCATATTAAGAACGCATGTACAATAAACATATTCATTTGATATCATTTGTATGTAATAAGAGAACGGAGATATCTAAAACATTTGAACACTATCATAAAATGTGTGTGTTTTCTTTTAAATGACATATTCACCATCAATTAGAGTCAGTGAGTTTCACGTTTCTATTCTAGATTCATTTAGTTTATTCGATTTTCTCTGCTTATTGTTTCACCAAACCTGATTGATTTCATATTTAGCGAACGTCTCTCAATTACCTGAACGAAATGTTTGAATGAAACAAGCAAAAAATTTGTGTGATTGCTCAAAAATAAATGCGTAACTAAGCATATTAGATACACTGATTGATCTCTACGGCCATATTTACTGGATCTATCGGAATTTGTGTTGAATTCTCTGCAATGTAGTCAAATAAAAGATCAAATATTTCATTTAAAAATGTGCGACGTGCACTCTCGTATTGAAAGTGATTTTTATCAGTTGGTTAAGCTGCATCACAGTTTATTCAGATAATATTGTTCTCTGACCTCCCAACAAAAATGAATAATATTTCCATTGGGCAACTTCCTTATTACTACGTGTGGTCCTAGGGATATGTTTTACTCGTGTTGTTATGTGTCAAAACGTCAATACAACGTCAAAAATTATAGCTATTGACCTAACTTACAGTATGTCTATCCATAACACTACAGTTTCATGCAAAATCACTCAACAAAACCATAATTCGAGTGATACTTTCACTCCGCATTGGATGAATCAAATAGAGCATTGACCAAAAAACGTACCAAATCAGCAATATTCAGAGTTACTTAATCTAATCAAAAGGAACATCTTCGAAGGCTTATCGCATTCAAGGAACGTTTTGAATTTATCAAATATTCATGTGCTTGGGTGCACTG